TTAGGTCCCCACTAGCAGACGCTCTCTCATTAGCCCAGTATGACCACTCAGGGTGCAGGAGCAACTGGAGAAAAGAACTGGGAAGACCATCATTCCACTTCACACCACTTCTGATCCAACTCACACATTATGTATTTGGCCTTGAAATCAGCTGTATTGCCTTTAGCTAAACTAAATGTTAGTTTTAGTTTCTAAAGGCCTTCATGCAAATAAAATGTCAAAGATCTGTTCATTAAATTAACATTGTACAGTAAAGCAAATTAAATTAATTGAGAAACATGAGAAAAGATACACTGTGTTGTGTTGTTTTGCAGCCTTAATTGGCCTTGGGCCTTAGTGATATCCTGACACTCGAGCAGAAAGGAACTTAAGTGTGCCTTTTCCGGCTCCTGCATTGTCTCTACATTCCTCACGGTGTGGGAAGGGCCTCTCCATAGCCTACACCTGTACTTCTCTTAATTTCTTCGGAATTTGATCTTTCCCTCGACTTTTTCTAAGTCTTTTCTAAATCTCTGTGTGCCATTCTCTCTGCCACAATATACCTATCTCAGAGGGGTTTTGTACAGATTAAATTAAGATTATGTGGCAGTCAATAACATAACCCAACCTTCAATCATGCATACACTCATCAAATACAAACTCTATGGAGTCCCTAACTGGAAATATAGTGCAAACAGGAAAACCACAGTTCTTCCCTCGCGAAATGTGCAATCTAGCAAAAGGACAGAAATGGAACCTCTGTACATGCGATAAGTGCGACAAAGAACACAGAGAGCTTTGCGTAAATAAGAGTCACCTAAACAGACCTGGGCCGGCAGGGGAGGCTTTTATGAAGTTAGGAGATCTGAACAATGACTGGGACCAGAGGACTGCCTGCTTGTCCCATTAATTACTTTATGTAACTGATAACTAAAGCCTCATACTTGAGTAATTGGCATTAATATGCCATTTTGTTATAGCTGAGCAACAAAGAGAAATAAGTTATTTGTTAAACTTGTGCAGATTTTCACTATGGTTTCATTTTCCAGAAAAATCCTTAATATTTGAAGAATATTTTCACTGTTTTCTCTAACTCTATCCTCTATCATGAGGAAAAAACTGGAGCTCTGTTCTATTTCCTACCCTAAACCCTACTCTTATACATACCTCAATCTTCATAAACACCTCCACAACGACCCAGAACCACTGCACTGAAATTATCCATACATATATCTCTCTTCCCTATCCATCTAAACCACAGTTTTAGACCAAATGTTTATAAGACTAAACAGGTAAACACATGGGTGATTATACTATACTTCTACAAAGATACACTCTCTCTCCTCTTCATTTTTTTAAATATATTTTTTATTGTTGATAGTACTAGAGATATCTTCCATTCCCCCGCCCCCTTCCTCTCCTCTTCTTAAATCATGTGATTCCCTCTTCATTTACCTTTCTTCTTTCTACTTTTCATAGAATATAAATGGAGGCTGTGCCCTCGACACCCCCAGATCTGGCTCTTACTTCAACAGTGTTTGGACGGAACACACCCAGGAAGGCCCCTTCTTCCAGCCTCCAGCCACTCTCCTACGTCTTATCCAGTCACCACCCTCAGAACCACCTCCGGGACCAGCCAACACACTGTTGATGTTTATTTCTACCTTAACTCCTTATTGCCGAACAACCATGAGCTCCCAAATTCGTCAGAATCATTCCACCCACCAAGGTGAAGGCTGCGGTCAACCGCCTGGCCAGCCTGCCTCTGGGGCCTCCCACACCTACCTCTCGGCTTCTATTTCGACCTGGACGATGGAAGTGGCTCTGGAGGGCGTGGGCCACTTCTGCGAGTTGGCAGAGAAGAAGCGCGAGGGCGCTGAGCGTCTTAAAGTTGCAAACCCAGCGCGGTGCCTGCGTTCTCTTCCAGGACGTGCTGAAGCCTCCCAAGATGAGGGGACAAAACTCAGGGCCATAGAGACCGCCCTGGCCTTGGAGAGGAACCTGACCCAGGCCCTCTTGGAGCTGCAGGCCCTGGGTTCTACCCACAAACCCTCAGCTCCGTGACTTCCTGCAGAACCACTGCCGGGGTGAGAGGTGAAATGCATCAAGAAGATGGGCGACACCTGACACCTTGCAGGCTGCTGGCCCCCAGGCTGGGCTGGGTGCGTATCTCTTCCAAAGGCTCCCCCTCAAGCACAACTAGGAGCCTGTGGAGCCCAGAGGCCTTTGAGGGGCCCCTCTGCAACCCCCTGGTGTCTGGCTTTTACCGGAGCCTTTCCCCGAAGAAACTACTAGCCGTTCTTTTAACCACCCTGAAGCCCTCTCCCATGCATTGGACCAAATGAAACAATAAAGCTTTTTGCAGAAAAACAAAAGGGAAAAACAAATACTTTACTTCCTCTTAATCTTACTTGAAAAAATAAAAAGCTCGCCAAGCCAGTATGACTCAGTGGATAGAGCATCGGCCCACGGAATGAAGGGTCCTGGGTTTGATTCCAGTCAAGGGCACGTAACTAAGTTGAAGGCTCCATCCCGGCCCTGGTCAGGGCACATGCAGGAGGCAACCAATTGATATGTCTCTCTCATATGAATGTTTCTCTCTGTGTGTCCCTCTCCCTCCCTTTCACTCTCTCTAAAAATCAATGGAAAAATATCCTCAGGTGAGGATTAACAAAAAATAAAATACTTAAAAAAGAAAAAGTCAAAGCTCAATAACAGATGCAATGACCTCAACCTCAGTGTCAGGCATTAGCAGGAAACAGTGAAGGCGTGCTGCATTAGGGGGGTGAGCAAGTGTTACTTTGCTCCAACCTATGGAAAGATTGCTGGGTCTCCACTTTCTAAAGTGAGCCAGAAATGCAGGTTTTTTTTGTACAAAATTCTCTAATTGTTCATTTTGACAACTCACTAAAAAAGCTTTAAAGACATTATGGGAAGTCAAACAAAACAAATATATGCACATGATTCATTCAGTTCAGAATGATCACCAATTTTCAACCTCTGGTCTAACTCAAAGACATAGGAAACTCCTTTAGTTCACTTTTACACTGTAAACCCAGAAAGGAACCCAGCACCTAGTCAGACACTCAACAAATCTTTTGGCAAACACCTGATGCATTTCACAGCCAAACCAAGAACTGTATTTTTCTTTGTATGCACATCAGTCTCTTGACACCTCCACTTACCTGCTTAAAAGGTTAACAAAACTCCACAATTATACCTCTTCTATTTTTAAATCTCCCATAAGTACAAAAATAAGTACCTTATAAAACCCCCAAGGACTTATCTATTCATTTCTTTTTACTCTTCTGAACATGTCCGTAATTATCTCCCCTCTCCCTCTTATGCCTCTCCATTTTAATTGGTTTACTCTTTCCAATAAAAAAAGTTCCTTTGGACTACAGCACTTGCTTTGTGTTCATCTGTTCTTTCCCCCCATAACTCCTGACATCTGAAAAACATAATCAGACTACACCAACTATGAAGACATTTCAAATTACTAACGTTTTATATCTGAGTAAGTAACAAACCAAAATGTATAGAAAAGAAAGATCATATTGTTAACCAAATCAAATTTCCCAAAATTAAAATTACCAAGAGAAGTTTGAAGTATGGTACATGTCAACTGACACTGTCCAATATTTTATTATTTGAGGGAACAACACCAAAGGTAAAACCTAAAGTTTGATAAAAGTCCAATTTAAGTCTATCCCTCCTAGAGGCCAAAAGTTATACTACAACAATAATCTTTTCATGTATTTCAAAAACTTAGACGTTTAGTTTATACTAAAAATCCTACTTAAGCTTAGTACTCTAGTGAAAAAGCACAGTTTAATGAGGTTTACATTTATATTCATTATTTTATTAAATTAAAACAAATACTATTTGATGGGTAAAAAGGAGAGAAATTCAAGTATAAGCTTTAAGATGTTACAGTTTGTTGTCGACATTGATAATGTTAATACATGCTTGTCATAAAGGAAACAGAGAATTGTATTATTTAAAAATTTTCAGGAACCACTGTCCAAGCAATGGAGCAGACACACACACACACACATTATACATGTGTGTATATATGTAATGTATACATCCTATATAATAAAAGCCTAATATGCTAAGTGTCCGGTCAACCAATCAAAGTGTAATATGCTAATGATATGCTAAGGCCGCTCAACTGCTCCCTATGATGTGCACTGACCACCAAGGGGTAGAAAGTCAACCAGTCAGCCAGTCCCTATGACATGCACTGACCACCAGGGAGCAGATGCTCTGATTGGTAGGTGAGCTTGCTGCTGGGGTCCAGCCGATCAGGACTGAGTGAGACGGGCTGGACATGCCCTGGAGCCCTCCCGCAGACCCTTCCCTGCTGGTCAACCTCCCACGTCCTTCCCTGGCTTTGATCGTGCACCGGTGGGGTCCCTTAGCCTAGCCTGCACCCTCTCACAATCCGGGACCCCTCAGGGGATGTCGGAGAGCCAGTTTTGGCCCGATCCCGCTCAACGCAGGAGATGCTCCCTGTGGTCAATGCGCTCCCACAGGGAGAGCACCACTCAGCCAGAAGCCGGGCTCACGGCTGGCGAGTGCAGTGGCGACTCTGCGGCAGTGCTCAGGATGTCCGACTGCCAGCTTAGGCCCGCTCTCCACAGGGAGCGGGCCTAAGCTGGCAGTCGGACATCCCCCGAGGGCTCCTGGACTGCGAGAGGGCGCAGGCCGAGCTGAGGGGACCCCTCCCACCCCGAGTGCACGAATTCATGCACCGGGCCTCTAGTATATATATAACAGATACAAAAAGAAATGGCTAGAATATAACATAATTTTTGAATATACAGTAAATGAAAAAGCAAAACTGTCATTTTACCTTCTCAATATCCTTCAAAGACTTCAACTTTAACAAAAATATAAAGTAAATCAACTACTTTTCATAAAAAGAAACACACACAAGGAAAAATGAAATGTATGAACCAGTACTGAAGACAGGCTAAATAATGAAACACATTCCAAATCCCATTTTCATAGCATACCTGTGGCCATCGGTTGGCGACTGCACCAAAGAATAACTGTCTCCAGAAGAAAGCTTCCATGATTCATTTAATTTGTGTTCGCTCGTCCCCAGCTCACCCATTACCCAGTCCGGTAATCCTTCTGGGCTTGAACTTTTGGCTTGTGCTGGATTTGGTTCATCAAAATAGATGGACTGATTTTTTAAAAATTAGAAAAATTATTCTTTCAAAATGGACTATAATGAAATAATTAGTTAAGATTTCAAGTTTGATAACCATTCAAATATTCAAATTCAACTACCAAAAATATATAAAAATGCATCATTCAATGCACATTAATTATGAAATATTAAAATACATAAAATGGGATAACACATTTTAGTTGTGCTCTGCTGTATAAGAAATCTGATGAATGATAACAATCCGTACCAGATAAATCTGATAATTATTGTATTACAAAAGGAATATTAGCTTTATGTAAACATAAATGAAACGTTCTTTTTAAATCATGTGCTCTCTTATTTTTTTCTGTGATCATTAACTACTCTGCAGCCCACCAAAAAAATCAGTGGGCTCAGAAACCACAATAAATAAAAATCAGGAATCCCTTCATCAGATGAGAACAACAGAGTTGACCTGGGATGTAGTTCTGGCCATGCCATAAATGAGCTGGAAAACCCAAGGCAGCCTTAGGACTTCTCATCATTCTTTGTAAAACAAGGCACTTTCCTATGATTTTCTGAAATTGAGTGTGAATGGGGAAACATAATAGACTCAGATCTTAACGTCTGAATTTGTTCCAGAAAATGTTCTACTTTCAGTCATTAAGAAGAATGACATCAGCCCATTTATTTCTCTTTAAGTGAGCCAGGCTTCGTGACACATTTGTGAAAAATTTCTGCATTAACTGGATACTTCTGCAACAATTCTCCCAATCCTACACAACAGTCCTCTAGGGGGGCTGCTCTCTGGGGAGGGGTGAAACATGACCCTCTATCCTCAATCAGACATGCATAGCAATTTCTTTTTAAATGAGATAGTCACTTCAATGGTTAATCAAATATTAAGTCAAATAACTATGTCCCAAAGACTAATGATTTTAAACAAAACGTATGTCTCTCATGTGATTGGGAATAGCATTAAAACTTTTGGCATTCTTCCATGGATAGCATATTATGGTCTAATTGTGCAACATGCCTCTTGAGTAAATTTTTGGTGTAAATTAACTGTTAAAATAAAATTTAAAAATTTTAAAATATCATTTTAAAAAATCTTAAAATATCCTAACAGCAACTACCAATCCCTAGAACTCCAGCCAGATTTCTCAAGTATTCAAACACCATACAAACCAAGACAGTGACAATTCATCAACCAAGTATAATTGTAACTGCCTGATTCTGATAATGAAATTAAATGAAGTGCAGGAAATCACTTCTAAACTCCAACTTACTGTTGTCATTTTATTAGAGTAGAAAGGAACTTTAGAAGTCACTCAATCTGACCTCTCATAAATTTTTAAAAATGAAAGAGTTTAACAACTAAAATTTCCTGACATACATAAAATATTATTATAAACAGTGGAAAAGTAAGGCTCAAGTTTAAAATCGCACTTTAAAATTTTTAGAAATATTGTATAATATTATGGAATGACTAAATCAGTAAGTATAGGCCACTTATAGGCCAATATCTGATTTCTAGTCAAGGTAGAAAAACTTGAATCAGAAAGAAAAAAAACACACACATTCGTTTTAACTAACATATTATCTAGAACTTGTTACTAATATGACCATTCCCAAATGGTATGATAAATTGGCAGAGGTTGTTAAAAATATTTTTTTATTGATTTCAGAGAGGAAGAGAGAGGGAGAAAAAGATAGAAACATCAATGATGAGAGAGAATCACTGCTTGGCTGCTTCCTACTCATCCCACATTGGGGACCAAGCCCACAACCCAGTCATGTGCCCTGACCGGAAATTGAACCTCGACCTCCCGGTTCAACCACTGAGCCACCCCAGCTTGTCTAAATTGGCAGTTTTTAAGAAACTAAACTAATTCACCTTTTGGTCAATGACACCTACCATGTACGAAGGTAAAGTTTTTAGTGTCCCGGGTTCAGGTCGGTGTATAAAAGGGCCTTCAATCACTCCTCGCTTAAGCATATGCAGTAACAGTTTTGCATACAGGTTCCGATTCTTCCTGCCCATTATTCCTGCACCTGTTCCTGAAGGCTCACACAGCTTTCTAATCCAAAGTGCACACCTCTGCCGTTCTAGAAATACATAGGCAATATTAGAGACTTGATTTGTCAGTGAACAAACACTAAATGAAAGACCTGTCTAAATCTGCTCCTGCCTAGAGCAGGGGTCGGCAAATTCACTGTAAAGGGACACACAATAAACAGTGAGGCTCTGCAGGCCTGTGACCCCCGGCACAGCTGCTCCCTCTGCCACTGGAGCATGAAATCGGTCACACACCACATGTAACCAAACGGGCATGGCTGTTTTCTAATAAAACTTTACCAAAAGGCAGCAGGCTGGATCTGCTCCAGAGGCTACAATTTGCCAACTCTTGGTCTAGTTTACCAGTTCATTAGTAATCAGGCAAGACATAAGCAAAAAAATATTTTCTCAAAAATAAAATCTCTGGATTACTGTCAAATAAAGCAGTGAGATAAAAAGTTTGCTGTAAAAACATCTCTAAAATAATTGTAGTTGTTCTGAAAATTCTATAATTCTCATTATACAAACCAAGAGAGAGATAAAATGCAATCTTATTTACTTAAGCATTCTAAACTTAATCTAAAATTAAATCTCAAATGTTTTATTTATTAAAGCTGATAATTTTCAGAGACTTATAGTTGATTTATTTAGGGTTTTCTTTTAACCTCTCTAGAAATAATTGAAGGGTATTTACATGTAATTTTGTAAAATAATTACCCTTTTAGAAACTGCCTTAAAAACATAGCACAGTTTAATCCACATATAATGACCTATTGACTATCTTATCTTACATGACACAGAATCTCTTTTAGGTCTCATGAAAACTACTTTGACACTAATCTTTTATCAGTCTAACTCAATTTGAGGATTATATACCTAACACAAATCATAAGCCTGCTTTAATCTCTTAGTTTCTAAAGGTCATATTCATTTATTGTTTTACCTACAAAAATTGCTGGGGCCGGATTTACTACTTTGCTCATACCGGATTTATCACTACAGGTATGAAAGCTAGCCTCTAAAAAACTTTTGTATTTTTAGCTTTGAAATTATATAATCACAAAGCAAACTTCATGAAATATTGGGCATACTTTATGCCAAAAAAATGCAAAAGTGAAACTGATAAACTTAAGTAATCACTTTTTCAAACTATATATTTTCTGTATGCCCAGCAGCAAACTGAAATCTATCTAATTTTGGAATGGCTAGAATTCAGTACAACTTAATTAATACAAAAAAATTCATTCATCTACTTAAAATGTTGGGAAAAACCATTTCCCAAAGTAGATTTTAGCTACAAGAAGATGTAAGTTGTTTAGATTCTTGATTGGTATGTGATTTCCAAGCGTTCATTAAGAATTAACTAAATAAGAGAAGGCAAGGGATGTACCAATATAGACAATACCATGAACCAAAGATTACAATCCAATCAATTCTTGTACCTAAAATCCATTTTTAAAAGAAGATAAATATGATAATAGTTTGATTTGAAATACATTTATAATGGGAGATTTTAATTAAAAAATTTTCCTAATCAGCAGATCTAAGACAAAAAGAAAAAAAAAGGTACTGAATATCAAAAGATGATTAACAGTATAGAAACATCATTAAATACTAACTCAACAAATCATGAATGAGCTGTGAGATATGAAATAACCATTGTGAAGAACAGCAGAGGAAGAAAGAAGAGGTTTTGGTCTGAAGGGCAAGCGGATAGAGGAAGAAGCTTGGAGGGAAGCCCATGCCAAGACATCGTGGACCAGGAAAAGTCGCAGGCCTGGCCCTGGCCAGGCGGCTCAGTTGGTTGGAGCATCAAAAGATTGTGGGTTCAATCCCCAGTCAGGGCGCATATGGGGGGCAAGTGATATCTCTCTCTCTCTCTCTCTCTCTCTCTCTCTCTCTCTCTCCATCTCCATCTCCATCTCCATCTCCATCTCCATCTCCCTTCCTCTCTCCCTAAAAATAAATCAATAAAAAACATATCCTTGGGTGAGGATTTTTTTAAAAAGTGGCAGGGCCTAGAACAATGGATGACCACAAAATGCATAACTCACCCACTACCCTCCCTTCTCCCAGTGCAGCTCCTTGCAATAAATATCTAATACTGACTTGGTTCCTCATTTTTGAATATAGAGTTCCCTCAGACACCTTAGGGAAATAGGAAATTTGGACAGAGTAAAAACCAGTTTCTTGGCCCCATTCCAAATGATCCACTCAAAAGCTGCCAATCAGATTTATCTTTACAGCCAATCTTATGCACAGTATAACTCAGAGAATCTTCCTGGCCCACCCCCCACCCCCCCAAACTCTTTCCAATTGCTCTGCATACCTTGTGTTACTTGAAAATTCTCTCACTTGAAACAAAGACTCTCATTCTATAATTAAAGATAAGAAGCCATAAACTGGAGACAAGATAACAACAAAAACACATTCACACTTCATTTTATTCCGTCAACCCAAAGCATACAAGACCAATAAATTCTTTTCCACTTTTATAAACAAAAGGGTCAAAGAGCAGGTGGATTGTAGGCTCCTGAAAGAGGAAACATTCCCATGGTGGGAGAAAAAAAGATGCAGGAAGAAATCGTTTTAGCAAACTTTAGAGATCCCTGGGCTTTAAGCTCATGACATATAAGAAGGGGTATCACAACCTTTCCATGGTTTAGTAGGACATTATCACTAAATTTCTATTTACCCTTGAACAGCTCAAAGTAAACAATCCCACATCAGCTTAAGATAAAAAGTGCTATTTTTAAACATAATCTTACCTGGCCTATGGGGTAATTTTAAAACAAAAGGCTTCATATCTACCACAAAGTGATCAAATTCCGCATCCAGCTTCTCCCATTGTTCTTCTTCACTTTCCATTTCCATAATTCAGTCTGTAGAAGATTTAAAATGAAAATATTGAGGGTCTGTATGCTGAAAACTGCAAAACTGATTAAAGAGATCAAAGAAAACTCATTAGCATTATAAATACCAATTCTCCCCAAATAGATCTATAGATTTCATGCAATTCCAAACAAAAGCCCAGCAGTATTCTTTGTATATATAACAAGCTGACTCTAAAATTTAATTTTAGAAAGTAAAAAAAAACTAGAATTCTGAAAAAGAAAAACAAAGTTGGAGGATTCACGTTACCCAATTTTAAGAGGTACAGTAGTCAAGACAATGTAGTATTGGTGAAAGGATAGACACATGGACCCATAGAACAGACTAGAGTCCAGAAATGGACCAGTAAAATATGGACAACTGACTTTCAACAAAGGTAAAATTCATGAAGAAATTATAGTTTTTATAATAAAGTATGCTATAACAACTGGGCATCCATCTGCAAAAAAAAAAAATTATACAAACCTCAACCTATATCTCATAGTATATTAAAAAAAATTAACTCAAAATAAATCACAGACCTAAGAGTAAAATGTCAAATTACAAAACTCTTAGAAGAAAATATAGGGAACAATTTTCATGACCCTGAAAAAGGCAAAGATTTTTTAGATACAACATAAAAAGCACTATCATATAAGAAAAAATGGACAGATTGGACTTCAGCAAAACAAAAAACTTTTGCTCTGCAAAGGGCTCTGTTAAAGTACTGAAATGAAAAGCCACAGACTCAAAGAAAAGATTTGTGAATTACATTTTCTCACAAAGGACTTACTAGTATAAAGAACTCTCAAAACCATAAAACAAACAACCCAATAAAAATAATCAGCAAAAAGCTAGTCTCTTTACCAAAGAAGATACACAGATGACAAGTAAGCACATGAAAAGATGCTCAACATTTTTAGTTACTAGGGAAATGCAAATTAAAACCATAATGAGATATCACTACACGCCTAGTAGGACAGCTAAAACAACAAATGCAAACAATAGCACGTGCTGGTAAGAACAATGAACAGGAACCCTCATGCACTGCTGGTAGGAATGCAAAATGGTACAACCACGCTGGAAAACAGGTTAGGACAGCCGTGGGCAAACTACGGCCCGCGGGCCGGATCCGGCCCGTTTGAAATGAATAAAACTAAAAAAAAAAAAAGACCGTACCCTTTTATGTAATGATGTTTACTTTGAATTTATATTAGTTCACACAAACACTCCATCCATGCTTTTGTTCCGGCCCTCCGGTCCAGTTTAAGAACCCATTGTGGCCCTCGAGTCAAAAAGTTTGCCCACCCCTGGGTTAGGAGGTGCTTACACAGTTAAACATACATTTACCATGTCTCGGAAATCCCACTCTTTGGTATTTACCCAAGTGAAACAAAATCTATATTTATACAGAAACCTGATGTAATGTTTATAGCAGTTTTTTCCTTCCGTAATCAGCAAACACTAGGAACAACCCAAAGGTCCCTCACCTGGGGAATGGATAAACAAATTATGGCAAAAACACAACATGAAACTGTACTCAGCAACAGAAAAGAATGAGCTACTGATCCACGTGACAACATAAAAAAAAAACTTCGAACATATTATGCTGAGTGAAAGAAGCCATTCCTGAAAGGCTACCTACTGTATTAACCCATTTGCATGACATTCTAGAAAAGACAACGTTTTTGAGCATGGAAAACAGATCAGTGGTCCACAGGGCTTACCATTGGGGGAGACCTGGACAGGAAGAGGCGGCACAGGGCAAGTATGTAGGTGTTGGAATTGGTCAGCATACTGCCTGTGGAGGAGGTTGCAAGACCCTACTTCATGCATGTGTAAGAACTCATAGAACTGTATCCCCCAAAACAGTGATTTTAACTATGTACATTTAAATTTTATAGCTCTCCTCAAAAAAACTTAAAATATTGGTCCTTGTATTTCTTCCTAATTAGCAAGAAAACATTGATGATAAAGGGGTGAATCCCCCAAAAAATCAGAAATGTAGATTTTGACTAAGTTCCTAAAGTTAAAAAAATATATCCACACTCAACATGTTCCTCTATGTAATGAACTGTCTTGGTAGGGTTGTGGACTACCCCTACATTATGTAAGGTCTCCAAGTGTCATTGATTCAATTTACAAATTACACATTTAGAATAAAGCTCTGTTCTGCCTCAGGCATTCTTACTCCACAGACGGCCCTCCCACTGCTAAAGCAGCTTCTGGTATTGACCATGGTATCTTCATCTTCTTATTAACAGCCTCTTCATAGAAAGTTCTCGCTACCCTGTCTCTGTAAGGAAGCTTTCGCTGGCTGGCCTGGCTTCCCTCCGTCTAGACATGAACCACGGTTTTCAGTCTTCTGCCAAGTACATGCATGTGCTCCCTGGAGTCTTAAACTCTCTCCCGCAACCTTGCCCAGGAAGGAAAACAGTTTCTGAGATGCATACTGCTCTTCAGCCACAACCCGAAAGTCCCCTCTTAGGAGGTTCCCACCATCTGACTATACCTTACTCTCCATTCTCATCACCGTCACCTCCCTGACCCTTCTATCTCATCACAGCCTCTTATTCTCTTATACTGTCTCCTTACTCCACTCGACCTTCTCTTTACTAAACTCAGCAAGACTTTGACCCCTTGACACCCTCCTTCGTTCCCTAACTGAGGGCTTGTGGGAGTAAGACAGCACTGCCTTGTAGTCAGATGGCTTCCAATCTTACCTCAATCCACAGGAGTCTTTTGCTGTCTCCTACTCCACAAAGCAGCTTTTACCAGACATCTTAAAGTCCCTTAAATAAAGCGCTCACTCTCAATTTCAAAAATCTAACCTCCTGCTTCATGGAAAAAGTAACTGCCGAATGGTTACACCACAAAATGCTATTCCCTCCACCTCTCAACTTACTTCTTAGAGAACAGAAGCATGAACTTGTATCCGAAGCATGAACTTGTATCAGAAGCATGAACTTGTCTCTCTAATCCTAAAAACACCTATCAACAGCCTCCTCACTGTGCCAAACTTTCCAGCCCCACTGTCTGTTCCCATTTCTTAAACCCCCATAAACTAATACATCCACAAATACTCAGAAATACCTCCAACCCTGCCTGTATCTCTATTCTAGCTGCCATGGTCTCCGAGAAAGCCCTTCTGATCACTTACCTACAGCCAACTGTATTTTTTCCTACTTTAGTCCTCACTGGTACTAGACTACGGTTCCTAAGTATAAAACTAACCCTATCACTCCCCACATAAAAACTTCTCTTGGCTGCTTGTGACAACAGGATGCTTTCTAAATTCAAAGTTAGGTCTACAAGTACCTTTACATCCTGAGCCCATCTCTGATCCCTCCCTACACATCTACACACACACACACACACACACACACACACACACACACTTTGGCTCGCCATTCTTCAAACACTCCAAGCCCTTATATGTGTTCACATCCTTTTCACTGGCTGTTCCCTCCGTCTGGAATCTGATACATGCAGCACAAGTGTCCCTTCTGAGTAAAGCTTGTCCCACTTACGTAGACTCACTGTTACTCCATTCTCAGTGTGCACTGCTCACATCTGTGCAGCAGTATTTATCAAGCTAGTTTTTTTTAATACATCTGTGTATTACTTGCATGTATTCCACATCCGAGATGCTCCTGGAAGGCAGAGACCACGACTTATATGTCTCAGTAGATACCTAGCACATTGCGTGCTGTGTATTAGAAACGAAAGAAGAATTGATTGGTAAATAAATGTTAACGTAAGGGATTAATGTCCCACTTTTACATGACTAGGGTGTTTGTTTTTTAAGATCCCATTCTGGCCCTAGCCGGTTTGGCTCGATGGATAGAGCGTCGGCCTGCGGACTAAAGGGTCCCAGATTTGATTCTGGTCAAGGGCACATGCCCGGGTTGCGGGCTCGATCCCCAGTGTGGAGCGGGCAGGAGGCAGCCAATCAGTAATTCTCTCTCATCATTGATGTTTCTAACTCTCTCTCCCTCTTCCTTCCTCTCTAAAATCAATAAAAATATATATATTTTTTTAAAAAAGATCCCATTCTGAGTACCAAATAGGTCTTCTAGAATAGAAATATTACGTGTCCTTAATTCTAGTTACCAAAACTGATCACCCTACATTCTGCATTATAGAAGAAACACATTTTCACATTCAAGACTTGGTTAAGATAGTATTATTTTGATGGGTTAGTTAGCTTGGGTTGTTTGGTTCGTTTGCTTTGTTTCGAATTCCTATAATATTCCTAACTGCATTCCTCCATAACTACTTCAGTTATGTACTTGATAACAGAAAGCTATGATACCACGGCTGGATGTTAAATCATAAAGCTGAAAACTAACTTTTCAAATGGATGAACAAACAAATGGAAACTCATAAACCCAGAATTTTAAGCACAGCTCTGGCCTAGAAGTGTACTCCCAGGCTTAGCCATCCTGCCTTTGCACTCAAACATTTGCCTGAGAGTACCCATAGTTAGGGCTAAAGCCAAAAGATTTGTAATAAGATTCACTCAATAAGTCCTTTAACACAGGCAAAAGATGGTAGTGTTTAACGTTAGAGGAAACTTAAATTCAAAGTTAAAAGACTCACTTAAAGCCATGAAATTAAGCCCAAAGCTCAGATTAAAATTCTGAAATCCTTGTCAGATTCATGATATCTGACCACTTGGCCACTTGCCTATACATCAGCACTATCTCCAACTAATAATAAAATCTTGAAAATTAGAAAGGCAATCAGAATTGCTATAATAACATATAATACTGGATATACATTTTTTAAAAACCAGAGTAAAGAGTCAATGTAATATTTGGTAAAAAGAAAAAAAAATCT